AAATGCAATAAAAATGATACTGGCGGAGCAAAATATCAAATTACACTAAAATTTATCAATTTATTTGTGTAAAAGTGATTAAAAATCAATAATTACCGTTATTAACCTGATTGCGTCTATAGATATATTCCAATTAAAAAATGTACTTTTGTATATCAAACATACTCTCATGTTAATAAAGACACATAGAAAAATTTTTTTTGTGATTTTATTAGCCCACCAACACAACAATTATTTTGATAATAACTTGCATGCATATCAGTTGACAATTCATAGAAAAAAATTAAAATAAAGAGAAAAAAATTGATGCGTTTAAACGAATATGCCTCAGTGTAGATAAAAAAAACCTTCCATTACTTGTAAAGAATTTATTATATAGTTAATGATTTGTAAACTTCTATTCGCGTCGATTATTTGAAAATCTGAAATAAAAAATAAAAAAATATAATTAAGAAAACAATACCTTGGGAATATTTTAAGACACTCTGCGTATTAAAATTTGTTCGTGAGAGTCAAAATGGGATGGACTACTATGATTCAAGTACAATGAATCAAAATTTAGTACAAAAATAAATTTTCAATTGATGTCATGAATATATTTTTCAACTAGATAAGCTTGATAGAACTTAGTTACGAATGTAATTGTCTAAATGTTTCTTAGTTACGAATGTAATTATCAAAATATTTCTTTTTGATATTTAAACTTTAATCGATAAATATTGTTTCGCTCGAATAATTTTTCAGTTTTTTGTTCAGCTAGTTTCGTCAAGATTAATGTTGTACTTGGCCTGTTGAGATGCTGTAAATATTTACTTTCACAAAAAAAGATTTTCTCAAACAATCCCCAATTTTGCCTGATTTTTGTTGTTGTTGTTTTACCCTAAAATTTATTAGTCTAGAATGTACTAGGGTAGCTATTCTAGAATTTACAATCAATCTGCCGCTTATTAGCATCCGTATTTCAGCCATTGTTTTCATCAACTCATCGTGTCTTATTGGCTGATTAATTTTTGCGGAACATATAAGTAATAAGACTAATCAATTAATGATTTTTCCTCATCCTTTCTCATTACAGTTCCAACTCCTCATTTTTTCTTCTCGTTTTTTTTTTTTTTTTTAATATCAATTAGAATTTAAAGTCTCAATTGAAAATTTCTTATGACATTTTTTAAATTTTTTTTAGTTTTAGTATTTTCTATTTTTATATTACATGTATAAACTTCAAAAATATAAAAGTATTTTACTATTTTTCAGCTCATTTCTATTATCCGATTCATCTCAATTTAGAGATTTTGTAGTCATAAGAAGTGCTAATTAAGTGCTATTTAAGCAAAATTAACATTTTCATACGGCAAAAAATAATTGTAAAATTTTTAGTCTGATAGCATGAGTACTTTTTGAGCAACGGTTGTTTTATAAAACTGATTTTTTGTGCATTCTTATGCTGACTCAGAAGTTTATAATGGCTTATTTTATTTATTGAAAGGATTTTTTTCTTCTAAATATATATAATTTTTTCATTTTAATTTAAAAAAAAAAAATCAAAATCAATAGTATCAAATATTTTAGTTTTTTTACCATGCATCGACCTTCATGTCAAATAAAATAATGGAGATGATAAAAAGAAGTATAAAGTAACTTTTTCATTTTAAAATAGCAGATCCACTTAAAATAGAGTTTTGTTATGGAAGGTCGATTATATTTAAACTTTATTTTGAATTAATTAATTTTCTTTTTCATAATGTAAAACTTTGAAGAATAAGAAAGGGTAATTAAGGCCTAATTAAACATTTAAGTCAAGTCAAAAGTTTGACAAATGTTAAATTAACTCTAAATTTTCAGAAGTACTTAACTTGGGCTTCTTGCACTTTTGTATAAAACTGATGATTATTTTTTAAAATAAAAAGATATTCAATATCTTTTAAAAAAAAGTAAAATGAAGTACTCAACAAATACAAAAACTTAAAATTAAAATTAGACTTTCATTGAAACCCCAGACAACGCAACAGGGAACATTTTCTGAAAATTTCACTTCAAAATATTTATTTAAAAGATGAGAAAATTTATATATTAAGTAATTAAAAAAATAAAAAATTCTCTTAAAGATTTTGTAATAAAAAAAATCATAGAATTGTTATCATTCTAAAAACCACCAGAGATCATAATGTTACTTCTTTATTTTCTTTACTTTTAAAATGCTTTTTTTTCATAACTTTCATCAACTTTAGTTGGTATGAGGCATCAACAGAAGAAAATGATCTGTTGATACCTGTTGTTGATACCTGTTGTGGATACCTGTATCAGTAGAATTCTGTTGTTTGATGTCTTTATGTCATATAATCATTATCAAAAATTTCACACTTGAAAACCTTGCTGATAAATTTGTGGGTTTTTTAAAAATATCCTTCTTTAGGAAAGCGGTCATTTTACGGGGGTCACACACAACCGGTAAAATCGTCCTTGTTACTAATTGTGATACGCGTCATTTTTATATAAAAGATGCAAAAATGCTTGAAATAAAAATGATCTTTATGCAAGCAGGCAAATATAGTCAAAAGATATTAGTTAGTAAACTTAAAATTTAAATTAAAGTTTTTTCTGAGCACTGGTAAAATAAAATCCAAACAGGACGTTTTTAAAACCCTCATTTCAAATACCTGACTGAAAGTTAAAAAAATCAACAAACTAATCCTTTGCTATGGTGGTTGCTAGGGAAGTCTGAGAAACTATAGTGCATTAAAACACGATTATTTAAAAAACAAATCAAATTTTTTTTTGTGGTTATTAAGATACTCCCAGATGTCCTTACAGTGCTTTTAACTAATTCCAAACTTTTGACGGTAATTTACTGTTTTTTTCACTTGACTGTTTGTTTCTCTATATAAGTTTATGACGTGATCTGATGTTACCAAAAGCATATTGAGTAAACCTATATTTGTAGATATACGTGAGTTTTTCTTGTATAATGCTCGTGAAATCGACATAAATCTTTTTAGCGGGCTTCTTGAAACTCTTCCGATAGCTATCTTATTGGAAGAAGGCATGTTTTTATAATTTCTGCACTATGTATAAGTATTTTGTGCACAGTAACAGACATATAGTACCACGGGTATAGATTAAGATTTTTGGTTTCAGTGCAAAGCTTTTCAAATTCATAATAATTAGTATCATAGCCAGAGAAAAGTGTTTTTAATAAAATACTAAAATTTTTAATGAGATACACATCCAAACCCGTAATCTCACCACTCAACTCTGGCTCGAAAGCCAGTGAGATTACGGGTTTGGATGTGTAAAAAACGTTCGAGCTGTGTTTTTATCATTTGTATTCCCTAAGCCATGTTTTAGTTTGTCTACAATGAGGCTCATATGGTTTTAAAATTTTTGTTTGATATCTTCTGAACGCTTTGGAACACTAGATTTATCTTCATCTCTAGATTTATCTTCATCTCTAGCTTGCCACTTTTCTATATCTAAATGATAGCTAATGTGTAACATGCACCCAAAAAAAAAAAAAAAAATGAAGATTGTGGATTTTGCCAAATAATATTTTTGCCGTCACTCAGTCTCAACGGAACAAATTAAAATACTAACAGAAACTCCTCAGTGCTGTAACCGGAGCTCCTATCATATTTCCATTTGCTAATTAAAGTGAATGGCGTAGTAAAAGTATGATTTTTAATAACACCACATCGGGTTTTAATTAGACTTTTAGTGGTTTTATTAAGTATGGCTAGTAGGTTAAAACTTGTACGTGTTTCTGTAATAGAAATATGTTTATCTAATGGATAACATAACTTTTTTGACTCGCATAGACAAAAAATAAGATGAAAATACTATATGCCCTGCTTTTAAAGATCACAGAATTTAAAAGATTTTTAAAAATTTGTTATCACGATTCTAAACTTTTACTGATTAAAGTAGCTTGGTTTCTCTGCCCCGCGTACGACATGCTACTTCAGCAGCTGCTATCGTCTCAGTTGCACTTTGCAATTTTACTAAGTCTTCAACCCTCCCTTTTTTGTTTTTAAAGAACAAGTTTTCAAAGTTTTTTTTGGCTGTACTCGAAAGAAATCCAGATGATAAAAAGGAGGATTACAGATAAATACTTCAAATTCTACATCTGCTCCTGCTAACCAACATTTAATTTTGTTTTAAAAAGGGTCCATCGTCATCTGTGCGGCAGATGTGTTTTTTATCATTAACACTGTAAGCTATTTCCCACACGGGACTGTAATTGTGAAATATTATTAATTAGTCGATTTCTTGAACTAACTTTTGATTAACCTAGCTTTTAGCTATTTAAAATTGTGATATTTTAGCTTGTAAGTTTTATGAAATATTAACAAAATGTTTTAAATTAAAATAAAGAACAAAAAATAAAAAAAATAAAAAGTCCTCGTTACCTAACATTTGCCGAATGCCAACTACATCCGAGAAAATTAGCCCGCCAACTAAACAAAACAGCAGAAAAAAATAGAAAAAAAGTAAAAAAAATTCGGAACACTAGTTCTAATAAAATATTAAGCAAATTGAAATAAAAATGTCAACTTTGTAATGTATATCTTATATATAAATATATCTTTAAATTACTTAAAGTTTGAGTAGCCATTTATTTCGTGCTATCGAAAAATTATTCAAGATTACAAAATTCATACAATAGATTATCATAGTGTTTTTAATAACAATTTAAGTAAACGTGAAGTTTTATTCCAAAACCCATTTCTTACAAGATAAAAAAAACCAAATTATAAATTTTTAGAGTTTAGTCTTGAATATACAACTTGTTCAGCTATTTTAATAAGTTTACAAAAAAAAAAACTTTATACCGCATTTTTCAGTTAGATATTGCAATGACTTCACTAATTGCAATATCTTACTGTAAAATGTATCTGTTAAAAGGACTTTTAATAATATATATATATATATATATATATATATATATATATATATATATATATATATATATAATATATATATATATATATATATATATAAATTTTCTATTTAGGTTAGAGGAAAAAACAAACTTAGTACCTTAGATTCACTCTTCGAAGATGTTTTATGCTCACTTAGCTTTAACTAAAAAAGGGAAGTTAGCAAAAGTATGGTTAGCTGCTCATTGGGAAAAAAAATTGAGTAAAGCACATGTGTTTGAAACAGATATTCAATCTACGGTAGCAAACATTATCTCTCCTGAGCAAAGAATTGCTCTTCGTACCTCTAGTCATTTACTTTTAGGAATTGTAAGAATATACTATCGTAAAACAAAGTATTTGTTAGCTGATTGCACAGAAGCACTTATAAAAATTAAAATGTCATTTCGACCAGAGGCTGTTGATTTACCATTAGACAACCAAAAAGCTCCAGTTTCTGCAATTACTTTACCAGAGTTTCAAGAGTGGGATGCTATGATAGATAACTTAGGGTGAGTTTTTTCAGTGCATATATATATATATATATATATATATACATACATATATATGTATACATATATATATATATATATATATATATATATATATATATATATATATATATATATATATATATATATATATATATATACATATAAATATATATATATATATATATATATATATATATATATATATATATATATATATATATATATATATATATATATATATACATTGACCATTTATTTAACCATAAAATATTAAAATTTATATATTATAAACTCACATAAATAAGGTTTGGTGTCACTCGTATAGTAAAAACTAGTCAATAGAGTGACACCTAACAAAAACAAAACAAAAAACTAGTAAATAAAAGAATTTTAAATAAAAGAAAAAAGTAATAATAATATTATCAATAACAACAATAATAATAATAATATGAATTAAAAAATGTTACAAGTAATAACTATAATATGATAACTTTTATAAAAATTATAACTAATGATAAAAACTTTGGGATTGTTTATTAGTTACGTCAACAATTTTCTGGCAATTTTTACTACCCCCTGCCCCTTGTCAACAACTTTTCAATCTTCGAAAGACCCCATTATAAAATTAAGTCAACATTTGATAACCTTCCCTAATAATAATATTATTTTTTCAAAGTTGTTGTTGGTTAGTCTGATGTGCAAACAAAAAAGATTCATGGAAGTACATGGTTTATATTATATTATTTAAACATTTATACCAGGGTCATGGTTCTTTCATTGTCAAGATGCAGCTCTTTAGCCCCATCCATAACATATAACATTGAAATAAAGATTTGGTAGATGGTTTGAATTGAAGATAATTGTAGTTCTTTAAAAATTGAGTTTTTAAAGAGCCACCAACTTCTTTATTTCAATATTATACTAATATTTTTGTATGGAGCTAAAGAGCAGCATTTTGACATCAAAAGAATCATACAAGGCTTGCAAGCTGCATGTTGCCGACCCCTGGTATAAACAAATAAATAATATAATGCAGACATTGTACTTACATTAGTCTTTTTTGTTTGCACACCAGAATAACCAACAACAACTTTGAAAAAATATTATTGTTATGAGTAAACATCTTGTGTGTCTATTTAATTCTGTATGTGTTGGGTCTTTTTAAACCATGGTTTTTAAAAAGTAGGAATACAAATAGGTTTATTAAAATACTGAAGTTTAAGCGAGTATGTAACACAGCACTCCAAACACTGTCTAATTTTCCTTTTTTTAATTAACTAAATTTATTTAAAAAAGTAACATTGTTGATGTCAACTTGTCTTGACCTCATCCTTGAATCTATGAGCATCATTAAAAAAGTTCATTATTCCCTTGAATCTTTGAGCATCATTAAAAAAGTAAATAAAAAGTATAAAACTAGAGAAAATGCAGATTTTTTACTTGAAAGACAAACAATTTAATTGTTGTAACCCAAGTAATGCATCATAAATCTTTTATTTTAAGATCGTTTTATAAAAATAAAAGCCTTTAGCAGGCATACACATCGGTCTAAATTTTGGTCTTTAAAAACCAATATTGAATTCATTGTTAAATACCTCTCTATACTTATGTTGCTTAACAGACTGAATTCCTTTTTTTGCTCAAAGTTTAGTATAAAGGTCATGCATTGATAAATTCAATTTATTTTCTAGATAATCTTTCGGAGTAGTGCTCCTTCACTATCCAACTTAAATACACAGAAACAAAGTTATGTGAACACAAACTTTGTTCAATAATATTTAAGGCAATTTGTATTGTACATGCTTTTACAATTGTCTTTTTATTTAATTTTTTGTTTGTTTGATTTTAATTTTCTTTTCAATTTATTAAATTGTTATGAAAGTTAAATTGATCGTGAAATGTTCAGAACTCCTATAAAACATTTTTACAAACTCTGCTATGATTTTTCTAAAAAGTATTAATAAGAATATTTTCTTCTGCTATTATCTGAAATGGTTCTTACTTTTTTATTTTATTTTTGTAAATTTAACATAAAGATTATTTTCATTAGTATCATCTAAAGTCTAGAAATGTTTAAACATATGCTGCCTGTTTCTGGTATTATTTTTGAGTCACAAGAAAATATAAAGATTGATCAGTTAATTTTAGCAGACTTTCTTTTTTTATTTTTTAAAAAAAAGTGGAAAATTGCTTTCGCTTTCAACAAGATAAGACATGTTTATTTGCGTGAGAATAAAATTTTTTATACTTAAATTAAACTTTAATTTATATTAAATATTATATTTACTAGGAAAAAAATAAATTAATTATATATTGGCTATAATATAAGAAATATATAGTATATAATATAGGAAATATATATAGGAAAAAAATAAATTAATTATATTATGGCTACCAGTTATTAGTGGTGTACCACAGGGGTCAGTTTTAGGACCACTGCTGTTTTTGATTTTTATTAATGATATGCCAGATCAAGTCAAAAACCCTATTAAACTTTACGCTGATGATAGTAAAATAATAAATATTATAAAAAATCCTAATGATTCAATAAGCCTTCAAAATGATATAAATAACATAATGGCATGGTCATCTATTTGGCTCACAAAATTTAATTATGAAAAATGCAAAGTTATGCATATTGGGAAAAAAAATCCAAATGCTACATTTATAATGACTGATATTGATTGCAATTACAATTATACATTATGTAACACAAAAGCTGAACGTGATTTGGGTATAATGGTTCAATCTGATTTAAAATGGCACTCACAAGTTGATTCAGCAACCAGCAAAGCAAACAGAATGTTAGGTACCATAAAGAGAAGCTTTAAATATTTAGATGTAAACATGGTAAAAATGCTTTATACAACGTTCATACGTCCACATCTTGAGTTTGCGGTCCAGGCATGGTCTCCATTTTTAAAACAAGACATAGACAAGATTGAGAAAATCCAAAAAAGAGCAACCAAACTAGCACCTACAATTAGGAAATTATCATATGAGGCTAGGTTGAATATTATGCAATTAACGTCACTGGAAGAACGTAGACTACGTGGAGATCTGATTCAATAATATAAAATTCAGCATGGCCACGATAAAATAAATTGGGTTGCTAACGATTGTGGAAATGCATTGGAGGAGGGTACATGTCTGCGACAACACAAATTCAAAATGAGGAAGCCTTTTAGCAGAAATACCTTCAGGTATCATTTTTTCCAAAATCGAGTTGTAAATGTGTGGAACAGCTTACCATCTGAAATAATAGAAGCTATTTCAATAAATAACTTCAAAAACAAACTAGACAAAGCTGGATTTTGCAGAAACTATTTGTTAAAACACAAACAAAAGACAAAATGAGCTGTTACAGTGCAATATCTTATGTTATTGCACTTCGCAACTGTTTAAAACAGTTGTTACAGTTATACCTTATTATTATTATTATATTAATAAAATTACAACAACAAAACAAAAAAAACACTGGCACCTCTAGTCCTTGTGTAAATTGCTAAAACTTAAACATTATAAACGATAGTTTGAAAAACATTAACAATAAATTTAAACATTATAAACGATAGTTTGAAAAACATTAACAATAAATTTAAACATAAACGATAGTTTGAAAAACATTAACAATAAATTTAAACATAAACGATAGTTTGAAAAACATTAACAATAAATTTAAACATTATAAACGATAGTTTGAAAAACATTAACAATAAATTTAAACATTATAAACGATAGTTTGAAAAACATTAACAATAAATTTAAACATTATAAATGATAGTTTGAAAAACAGATAAATCAGATAGAATTAATGATGATAAATTAATGGTCAATGAAATATTTGATTATATTGGCAAAAGCAATAAAAAACTGATTAAATTAGATTTAAAAAAAAAAAAGAATCAAAAAATTCACCTCAAATTGTTGTTGTACTTCCTGAAAACTGTGAACACAATAAAGTTCTACTCATGTCAAGGGAATTATGAAATAACGACAACTATAAAAATATTTATTTAAACCGGATATGACGCTAGCAGATAGACTAATAGATTTTTAATTAAGAAAAAAAAAAAATAATAGAAATCATCAGCTTATAGAAAATGAACCAAACTTGCCCTTTCCATGGTGCATCAAGCACAATGAAATCGTTAAACTCAACATCAGCAAACACATTAAAAAATATTAAACAAAAAAATGGTTCAAATAAAAAGTAACAAATCTGATAAAAGTAACAAGCTCACACAAATCACTAAAATTAATTTATACAAACATTGATTCGATATTGAACAAACGCCAAGAACTAAATTTCATTGTTTAAAAACTTAATCCACATCCTATTTGTCTTACTGAAACTTTACCAAAATAATGCTGATCAACATGTGATGACCAAGAAATTATTATAGAAAATTACACAACACTAACAAATCACAATAATAAATCATGTCAAAGAGTTTGAGCAATATTTGTACATATATGGTTAAAATCGCTATTGGTTAGCTTTGATACAATTGTGTCAGAATCAATTAGTTGTGAGATTGAAACAAAAAATTCTAAGCTACTAGTAACAACATTCTATAGATCTCCAAATAGCAATAAGGAAAATGATAATTATATAAATCAACACATAACTAATCTTTCTGAAAAATACACAAACATCCTTATTGTTGGAAACTTTAACTACCCAGATATAACTTGGTCTAAAAGAAAAGAAAACCTGATATCTCGCTCATCAAAATCCTTAAAATTCTTTGCTTCATTCCGCAATTGTTTTCCCATGCAACATATATCTAAACCAATAACTTAGGGATATATTCTAATCAAACCTTAAAAATGCTGTTTAAAAAAATGTTCCAAAATCCTCAATAAAAACTAAAAAGTGTTCACAATGAATAACCGCCCAAGTAGCAGAAGAAATTAGAAACAAAAAAATTAAATGTCAAGACTACATTCATAAACGGAATGGTAAAACACACTATGAATTGAACGCCGAGCATGTAACAGAACTAAAGCAGCTT